TCAGTAAGCTCTTTGAAGATTTTAATAAAGGAAAAAAATTTTATCTGAAATCGAAATATATTTTTTTGTTGGAATAAGCCTACTCTTTTCCTTTTCCTTTGGCTTTTGGTTTTTGTAGGTTTGATATGTTTGAGATTTTCTAAAATTTTTACCTTTTCTAACGCAGGCTGCCATATTTATGATTTTCAGCTTACATTGGCTTTGTAGAATTTCTTTGTTCCCAAAAAAACCGAAATTAAATGTTTTTTTTTTGGGTTTTAGAAAACTAGAAAATTTTGAAACCCAAACAAAAAAAACAGTCAGTTTTGAAATCAATTGAAAACCTACAAGTTTTTTCAATGGGATAATAGAAAATGAGAGGTTATTAAAAAAATATTTACTTTTCTTAATAAGGTAAGGATTTTCCAATCTTATGTGACATGTTTCCAATATTATGTACATGTAATAAGAGTATAATGGTGTATGGAGACGTTCAAGTTACATGTTTATTTTTTATTATTATTGTTATTATTATTATTATTATTATTATTATTATTATTATTATTATTATATTTATTTTTTCAAATCCATTTAGTTAGTCGCCACAGATCAAGATCGACACAAACCATTTACATTTAATAGAGGTTTTTTTTATTTGGAAATCGGAGCTAATTTGAGTAATATTACAAATAATTGGCTTCTTTCAAAGGGAGTGGGAAACTTTTTATATCCATTTTATTTGGGTTTCATTTTATAATGAAAATTCGTAAAATGTCTTTCCTAAAAATTCTTGAAATTGGAATTTTTTTCTTTATTATAATATTTCATTAACTTAAAATGAAAATAAAGATTTTTTTTTTGAAACATACATATATACATACATACACACATACATATATACATACATACATACATACATCATACACACAAAAAAGTTATCACTTTCCTTTTTCGACCAAAATACTTGAAACTTTTGTTTTGAGATAAAATGATAATAAATGATAATAAATTAATAACAAAAATAAACATTAATATAAACTGATTTAGTGAATGAACAATAAACATTTTGTTTAATGAAGTTTTAAAACTTGTTCATGATCTTTGAACTTTTTTGATTTTTTCTAGACAAGACTTATAAAGTATTAAGGTTCATTTTGAACATAAAAATATCTCCATTGTTATCCATTCTTGTATTGATATTATTAGGCGTACCTTGATCGGAAGTCTCGTAAAGATTCTGGTTTCACAATTCTAAATATTTACTCAAACTAACCAACTAATTGATTAAGTAACTAACTATCTAACTAAATAGTTAACTGATTAACTAACTAATGGTATTGATTGTCTTTTAAAAGTCTTAAGCGTAGTAGAAGGGAGCATCTAAATTATTAACCATTTTAAATCTTAACAAGCATTGTGTGTCATTTTTACCAAAAATAACATTGTCATTTTGAAATCCTTGTTTATTCATTATAGCTTTAAATTGTGAAATTAATAATGAAAAAAGAATTTTATGATCATCTTTTGATGTTTTGGCATACAAAAAAGAGTTTTTTTAACCAATTTTTCACTAAATATTATTTGACCTGGGCTGGCGTTTGTAATCCCATGCCAACATAGGAAAACTATGAATAAAAATTGGCAATGAGCGATTATTTGTATTCAAAATTAAAAAATGGTTGAAATTTTTTTCACATGAAATGAATTCAAAAATTTTTGTAAACATTCTAAATATGAAACTTTTTTCTTTCTTCTTGGATAGCTTTTGGGAAAATTAATTTTTGAGAAAATGGTTAAATTAAAATAAAATTTTTTTTAAGGTAAAGATTTTTTTGCTAACTATTAGAAAACTATTCTATTGTTGAAAATTGAAAAAAAAACGAAAGTCGAAATGTGAGGCTTTTTTTTGTTGTTATTGTTATTGTTGTTGTTATTGTTGTTGTTATTGTTATTGTTGTTATTGTTGTTGTTGTTGTTGTTGTTGTTGTTGTTGTTATGGTTGTTGTTGTTGTAATAATAGTCTATTAAAAATAATTCCAAAAAATAATTCTTAATTTTACAAATTGATCATTCATTTATTCAAAATTAGAGAAATTGACTTTTTTGTCAAATTTTAATAAAAATCATTTTGGATTTTCTGTTTAGATCACTTGCTTTAAAATAACATTAACATTGCAACAAGAAAGTAGGTGAATGTACAAGAATGTTTAATGAGAAAATTAAAAAAATCCTGTTAGATTGTTTTCAATAATGACTGAACTTACTTTACTTACTTACTTACTCACTCACTCAGCAATAACACCAATAAACTTCATTAAGTATTAACAACTCTCAACGTATAATTCTAAAAGTTAACCTAGTACTTATTAGTAACAAGAAGTTTTTGTATTGAACGAATTCCCAAGTCTTGGCTTAATTATCTCAACATTATTGAATATAACCTTGAAAAGAAATCTTTTGTAGATCAATTCCAAATAATTTTGTTTTTCAAGCATTCTAGAAAATTAAATTTTAATTAAAATTACGATTATTATGATTTGCACTCATTTAAGTTTCATTTGAAAATCCCAACACGAGACTTCTTAATTTCGGACAGTAGCTTCTAAATCATTTTAAGCTCATCAAACATTCTTTTACAGTGATATTAAAAAAAAATTATCCATCTAAAATCTCTTAAAAGATTTCCGAGTGTGAGAAAATGATAAATCTTTTTTAGAATGGTACCTCAGACCAAATTATCAAAAATTTCAAAAGTTTTGATAATTTATGATTTCCCAAACAAAATGGCTTTTGATACGCATATTTGATCATCTGTCTATCTCTCTTAGCTACATAACGTTCTAAAATGTGATATAATGTCAGTTCTTTAAAATTTATTGCCGTTTCAACATTATTGCCATTGAAGATTATGAAAACAATATTAATAATAGAATTGGGAGTTATTGGTTTCAGATATGAAAAAATTAATTTTGATTAAATCCCATTGCTTTTAAGTTTAACCTTTTGTTTTGTACATAAAGGGTTATTCCTATACTAACTAACTAACTAACCTTTTTTTTTCAATGGAGTTAAGCCAAATGATAAACTTTAAATTTTTTTTAATTTATCTGAATAAATCAAATTGAATATATATTAAACCTCACAAAGTAATATTGTTACAAAAAAAGATTATAAGTCGTTAAATAGTTTTTTTAAAAATTTTATTTATTTATTTAATCATTTAATAAAAATTTTTCATGATATTTTCTATTTCAGGTTAATCAATGGCATCATTTATTTTCATTCTTACATCATTATAATTATCATTATTATTATTTTTATCATTATCATTATTATTATTATTATTATTATTATTTAAATTTTCTTCTAAAAAAAGATAAATTTTCAAAAGAAATAAATTTTGTTTATTTAAAACCAACAAATAAAGATGTACAAAAGCATTAAAAAAAACAAATTACCAACTTTCATACAAAGCTAATAACAAATATGTAAACCAGTCTATAATTGAAAAACTAGAACTTGGGAATTACAAAAAAAAAAAGAGAAGCTATTTTTATATTTTAACCTTGGTTTTGAATTATTATTATTATTATTATTATTATTATTATTATTATTATTATATTGTTGTTGTTGTTGTTGTTGTTTTTGTTTTTTCTTCAAATTATAAACTTGTATTTCAATATACTGTAGCATTTTATAAAATTTCTATTTACAACAATCAAATGTTTTTAAAATAAAAATATCTTTTTTTAAAAAAAGCTATTTTGTTATTTTAAACTTTTTAATAGAATCAAAGATTAAGAATAAATTCAAACGAGTTTTAAAAATTCAGAAAATATTTATAGATTACATAAATTTATTTTACTTTTTTAATTAATATCAAGAAAATTTATTTAAATCACCTTTGATGTCGTAGAACAAATTGAAACAGAATCTCAATACAAAACACATTTTTTTTCCTCGAAATTTACCTTTTAGTTTTATTACAGAACTGACCATCATCTTATAATTTCCTACTTTTATCACAAAATTCTTTAAATGCAAGATGTTACTTTTTCTTCATAAAGGCTTATTTTGTTCCTTTTTCAATTTACTTCAAATTTTACCGGCAGATTTTGAAATTACCGTAAAACAAATATGATCTTTAGGAACTAAAGATCTTAACGCGCACAAGAATCTCCTTTCGTCATAAAACCTATCGCTCAGATGTTTGAAAAAAAACTCGATAACCATCTGAAATCGTCCATTGTAATTTTTAGTTCTATAAACTTTTCATCTTAAAATATCAAAATAAAAAATAGTATCAAATCACACGATCATTTATTGTAATTGGGGACATTATTAATCCGAAAATTTTGTTTCAAAAATATAGGCGTAGCCTCGATTGTGATGGATTGGTAAATATCGTAAAAATATTTGAAATTATGAAACAATCGCATGAAAATTATCAAAAGATTTTGCTTGAATTTTTTATAGTAAAGTTAAAACCTTGATGATTAAAAGCTAAACAATTGTTTAGAGGTTCTTAATCAAATTTCATTTTTTAATAAATCCTAATAAGAATAGTTATTCTACTAAATAATTCCAATTTCACCAGAACATAGCTTCCATGGCGCAATTGGTTAGCGCGTTCGGCTGTTAACCGAAAGGATCCTGGTTCAAATCCAGGTGGAAGCGTTTTAATTTTTCTACAATGTTTTGTCTTTTCCGCTCCACTAATTTTCCTTAAACGATGAGACCATAGATAATCAAAAAAAATTTTAATGATCTTTGTTTCAATGAATAATTATTTGTTATTACACATCTGACTAAACTAGAAATGAATGTAAATAAACATGTGCCTTCATTAAAATACCCGAAAATGGAATAAACATTGTGTTTGTGAATGACCATTTATGAAAGATAAGCTAAAACGTTTTAGTTATCAAATCATCATCGTTTGAAAAAAAGATGACCATTAGAATGAAATTCACTCGTTTGCTACTTTTCATCATCATCATAACAAAAAGTATTCAGACATTTCCGGCAAGCCAGATTTGAACTAGCGACCTAGAGATTACAGGTTAACACTACAGTCTCCCGCTCTACCAACTGAGCTATTGCCGGGTTTTCTTATTTCTAAATTATTTTTATAGTATTTACTTTGTAGTTTTTGTTGAAACTTGAAAAATAAGCTCCGGAATGAGAAGCATATAGAACCATACATCTGTCAAAAATGGATCATCTTGATTTTTAACTAAAAAATATTTATTTGCTTGTTACTCTGACGACTCTGCAAAAATGTGGTACCTTGGATTTTATACAATTTCATCGATCAAGATTATTGAAATGCATATTGATCAGTAAAACTCGGGCTAGACATATATTGAATTGTTGAGTGAAGAGGCTTGTTTTCAAAACCTAAAAGTTCTTAATAACCCTACCCGAACTGAGGACCGGTACCTCGAGTCAGAATAGGGTTATTAACGCTTCCACCTGGATTTGAACCAGGATCCTTTCGGTTAACAGCCGAACGCGCTAACCAATTGCGCCATGGAAGCATTATTCTCTGAAACAAGATGGAATTTTTCTTAAATAAATAACTTTAAATTGACTCACGTATTTGATATATATGATCGTAGGTAATTCCCCATTTTTTTCATCAATTTTATCAACCTTTGATTGATCAAAACTTTATTGATTTCTAAATTTCATTTTAAATACCAATTTTAGCTAAACAAGTATGGGCTAAAAACTTTTATGTATTTTCAAATAATGAGGACTTTTGGTTTGAGTTCTTTTATATCCGATTTTTATATATTTAATGTATCTGAAGTTCAAGAAATTAAAGGAATTCTCTTTTCTTAGTAATTGTACACTTTTGATTAATAAGATTTTTACTTCCATCTGAAAATTTAACTATATCCTCTAAAAACCTTAAAGTAAGACATTTTCTCTGATTGAAGATTTTCTCAAATTTATGTTTTGTACATCAATAATTTCTTCGTTAAAGGAATCTTTTGATTCCCTTGAAAATAGGGCTAAAAGTTATAGCCAGAGCAGATTAATCGTTTGTTGAAGGAATTTTTAGAGATGAAACTAGTTCGTCCATCATTTTATATTAAAAGCGAAGGTTGCTTTAAATGGTCGTAAAACAAAATCGACAAGGTGTCGTCATTTGACAGATTTCTCATTTAGTCAAAAGTGAGTCCGCGAATGAATTGTTGATGATATTAAAACAAATTACATCTTGACTGTGGGGTGAAAGTTCAGGACATGACGCAATATTTTTTGTAGATTTTACTTTCACTGTTAGAAGCGGGGAAATTTTCTCACTTATCAATTCTTTTATTGTTTTTAATGAAATGATTCTCTCGAGTTTTCCCAATTTTAAAAATGAAATTTATAAAATGATAGCTCTTGCGCTTAACATCAGAGAATAGGGTTTGGGTTAGCTCCCGGACTTTACTATGTATTGATGAATTTAATTTTGATCTCTTTCGTAACAAACGTTAATTGTCAAAAATTCAAATTACCTCACAATATCATTGATCAATCATTTTTTATTTAATGCTCATTATTAAATTATTTAATTTTGATCTCTCTCTAATTAATCAGATCGAGGAGGCATCAATCACCTGAGATACACACAAAGTAGATTTTATCAATTGTCAAGACATTTGCTCATAATTTAAGAACTTATCTATTAGCTAATGAAGTGCCTGTGAAAGCTCTTTAAACAATTTCCTGCTTTCTTTTACAAAAAGTCTGGTTTGTTTTTTATAATTATAATTACTTAATGATTTTTTTAAAGAATATAAAAATCCCGTTTGTTTGTTTGTTTTCGAATTTAAATTTTTTTTGTTTTTTTGTCATGTAAAACTTTTGAATTTCAAGTTTCATCTTGGCACAATTTCAATAAAAATTTACAAAAGATTTAATATTAAACCTCATTCCTGAAACCCTAAAGATGAATCCACTCATTCTCACAATTTTTACCATCACTATTACCTTTCTCTTCATTTTTTCAGATATTACGTCCGCCGATCCCCTGAATTTCCTCCCCGTTTGGCCTGAATATAATCCGAGCTCAAGTGAAACAGTGCTAGACCAATCAACGATTGAAAATTTTTACACCGGAAATTCAAATACTAAGATTACACCTTCCACCATGACCACGGAAATTTCTACTTCCAAACCAACCTTAACCTTATTAAGTAATGATAGAAATCAGATGGATACTGAAACAGTCCAAGGCAAAACTAATAGTGGGAAAACGAATCAGGCAACCCTGATAACTACCACCGGTAATTCGTCAACTGTTTCCAGTACAGTTTCTAGTAGTGATACGAATATACAAACCTCGATCTCGACCACAAATAACAAACTCCCACCAACGATACCCAAGGGTCATGAAAATAAGACTGGGTCATTTAATTTAGAAAATGTTGCAAGCCAGGCGGATACTACAATCTTTCTGGTAACAATCATATTTGGCATTGGTTTCGGAATGGGATTTGTAATGATAAGTTGAGTTGAGGCCTTTAATTTTTTTGAGTAACAAAGAATATTTAGACATGATAGAATGCTGTTTTGTAACTTCACTTCTTTTATTTAGCGTTATTATTCCAAAAGATTTTGGTCATTTGTGAAAATAGCCACATATACCAGATATGTTCCCCAAAATTAAATATAAAACAATGAATATTCGTGATGGTATTTCAAATAGGAAATATGTCCAATTTTAAATTTGATTTTCAAAGTCATGATAACAATTTTAGAAGTTTGCCAAATAAATTATGATGATTTATTGATAAATTTGATTTAAAAAGCAATTTTTATAATAATTTATTATTTGCATTAACGAGTGTGACCCAACCACTACTTATTACAATACAGCCCAAAAGCTCTAAAATAAGTGTGTCTCATGCACTTTCTACGGGTAACCAGCCACCCGAGCCAGTCAAGGCCAAATATGTTGAATTTAAAGAAAGAGAACTTACCCAAAACAGCCATCTTTTTGCATAATTGCAATTAAATTATTACTACCAGGATCAAACCAGCCAACCATTTGGCATTCAAATTTGCATCAGACTTGAAAACCATTATCCTAGCAAAAAAAATTTTACTAACAATAGAACTATCATCAACATTTATATTATTATCAAATAGACCATCTACACTACACTTTATCTTAAGATTAATCATCTCTTTACTCAAGTCATCTACAATTCTGTCAAAAATGTCAATCTGCTTTTAATTGCAATAATTAAACCAATCAAAAAGTTAATAGACTTAATAATAGACCTAATTAGCAAAGCCAATTTTGTCAACTCAAATTCCAAAACAGCCAACTTAAAACTAACTATAAAATTAATAACAGCAATAAAAATCTAAAAAAGTAACAGCTTTGGCATATAATTTTGATTTAATAAATTGATTTTCAAAAATCTTAAAATTAATTATAGACTTAAACATAAAACCTTGAAAAATAAGATAAAGACATTTTGCATTTAAAAACCAAATAATCTAAATTTTAACACTTAAAACAGCATCAACAACCCAAAATTTTCCATTAAATATGACTTTTTCCTAAAATATTAGTTTTAACAATAGTTTTATCTAAGCTTTTCTAAAAATCAAAGATAACAATAAACATATTTTAAACATTAAAAAGAATTTGGAAATTAGAAAACAAGTATAATTATTTATTCGGAAAACTAATTTACTAATTTTAAAGATAGCATAATCAAAAAAATTTACCAACTTGGTTTTTTTAAAATAATAGCTTTTTTCTAATTAAAAAAAAATTCTAGTACTATTTTTTTTTATAAAAATTAATTAGTAAATTAAACTAATATTTAAAAACATATGAAACTTAAAATACACAATACTACATTATTATTAATCAGTAAACTTCAACTTAAAAAATTTTATTATCATTATTTAAAATAGTTTTTGAAAAAACATTATAAGAAACAATAGTAATAAAAACAAAAACAAACCCAAAAATTTTGCAATTTTCAGAATAATTAAAACAACCAAATATAAATTTTATATAAAAAAGCTTAATATTGTTTTTAATAATTTATTTTAATCTAATAAACCATGTAAAAATTAAAACACAATTTTAATATAAGCCAATTTTATTTTAACAGTTTTACTAAGCACTAAAGTAAATACTATATATTTAAAAAACCTTTAATGATTAATAAATATTTTTTAAATATTATCAAAACCAATAATATTATCAAAAAACCGTGTTTTAGTTTTTATTTAATTAGTTTAATTTTTAAGATTAAATGAGTTAATAAATTAATTAATTAAAGTTATATGTAAAAACATGACTTGTTTTGTTTTTAAAATTAACAATTATCAATCAAAATTCAAAATATTAAGCAATTCAACCATGTATTAATTGAAACTAATTTTAACAAATGTGTTATTATTACTATTATTCTAATAAAAAAAAAGACTATTTTTTACAACCAAATTTAAGTTGGGCATTATAATTTGTACAATTGTAATAAAGCTGGTAAAAACATAAAAAAAATTGAAAAAAAGCAATGTTTTATTTCTTATAAAAGAAAAAACAAATTTTAAATAAAATATAGACATCAAGAGAAATATATTATTTAATTATCTCAAAAAAATTGGTTGGTTTTTTGGTTTTTTTGGCTATTTAAAAATGATAAGAAAAGTTGTTAATAAAAATAATAGTTTTACTACTGGTTTGTTTTTAAGACTTTTTGTATTAATAATAATAATTACATTAAGTTTAATCTTAGTTGATTACTTAAAAAAAAAACTTATGCTTAAAACTAAAAATAATGTTTTAACAACAGTCTTTAACTGTTTTTGTGTTTTTATTTTTTAAGAAAAGTGTTTTAGAAAAATACTTCTATTTTTAAGAGAGCTTCCTAAATGTTAAAACTATTAAAACAATAGAAAAAAAAAGAAATGGGGTTTTTTTACTCTTTGCTCTGGTTGTGGTTATTAGAATATGAAAGAAAAAGACTTTTTTTTATAATTTAATTTAAATAAAATTTTTTATAAAAACAATTTATTTAAAATTAATTATTGAAACAATTTTTATTTATCTATTTTAAGTTAAAAAAAAATTTTGT